TCATTCTGAACTTTTATCTGAAACATAAATATATATAATATATAATATAATATATAATATAATATACAATATAATATATAATATATAAATATTAATATAAATTAAGATAATAATGCCATATAAGACAATTTATATATATAAATAATCTATTTTATATATAAAATAGATATGATATATAGAAATGTATAACAAATTGCAGAGGGCGTAAGAAACACTGTTTTTTTTCGAAGTCGGTATTTCAGAACATGGAACATAAAATCTCATAAAATGTCATGTCTATTCTGTACCTCATCTGTGCCTATTTGTGGTATTAGTTAATGTCAAAGAAATTTTAACCTTCTTCTCATCTTCAAGTAATTATTGTATATTCAACATGAAAGTGATATAGTTATTATAATAACTTGAAAAAATTTTATTTAAAATTTAAAATTTTATTATTTAAATGATGATAAAAGACATCTTTTTTATTATTTTCTCTTTTAAAATTTCTTAGTGCAATTCCCATTTTTTTATATTTATTCTTAAATTTTAATACAACATTTATTTCTTTTAATTGTTAATGCAATATATCCACGTGTTTAATAGATTATGTGGAATTCAATGATTAACGAACGTGATGAACCACACATTAGAACTTATGCAGAAATATTAAAACAAAAACAGGATGATGAAGGATATCAAACTACAAGTTCAATACGACAGGTATATTTTTATGTATATTATATTTAGTAACTTAATTATTTTTATTAAATATGTCTTTTTTTATTTGTTATTAATATTTTTTTAAATGTTTTGATTATAGGATCGTGTTGAAAATGATATATTGAAATTATATAAATTAAACAATGAACCTCTTTTAGCAAGACAAAAACATATTCAATTTTTAAAAAAATCTTTATTTCAACTTAGTGAAGCTTATCAGGTAAAAATAAATTTTTAATTATGTTTATTAATAATTTATTATATTTAAAATATTATTATAATATAGTATATACTGTTTTTTAGTGTTTAGATTCTAGTAGACCATGGTTGTGTTATTGGAGTCTACATTCTCTTCAAATTTTAGGAGAGCGTTTAGAATATGATGAATATTCTAAAATTATTAGTTTTTTAGCCAAATGTCAATCACCAGAAGGTGGTTTTGGAGGAGGTCCAGGACAGCATCCTCATTTAGCCTCTACATATGCAGCAATAAATGCATTATGCACTATTGGTACACCTCAAGCTTATCAAGTAATTAATAGGTATATATATTGATAGGTATATATATTAATAGGTATATATATTGATAGGTATATATATTAATAGGTATATATATATATATATATATACAGCTATGAAAAAAATAAATATAATTTTTAAAATTGTATTTCAAAAGATTTCCCTTTAAGAATATTATTTATTTTATTATAATCTTATATATTTGATTTTAGAAAAGGACTTAAACAGTTTTTATCATCCTTACATGGAGAAGATGGTTCTTTTAGTTTGCATAAAGATGGAGAAACAGATATAAGAGGAATATATTGTGCTCTTTCTGTAGCAAAACTAACAAATGTATATACTCCTGAAATATTTAAAGAAAGTGAAAGTTGGATAGCTAAATGTCAAACATGGGAAGGTGGTTTTGGTGGTTCTCCTGGCATGGAAGCTCATGGAGGATATGGATTTTGTGGATTAGCAGCACTAGTGCTTCTTGGGAAACCTCATTTCTGTTGTTTGAAATCATTTTTGGTATTCAATTATTATTATAATAAATATTATATTAAAGAGTTCCACTATTTATATATATTTATTTTCAGAGATGGATAGTAAATAAACAAATGCGCTTAGAAGGTGGATTCCAAGGACGCACAGAGAAGTTAGTAGATGGTTGTTATT